CGGTGGAATGGGCACAGATTCATCGAGTATGACCTCTATGAGGTTGTTTTTTTGTCACATCCTTGCTATGACTTATTGTTTTTTATTATCAGTGAGAAAGCCTAGACTGGAATATGGGGCAGAATGAAGGGCGGCACCAATTCGATCGCTCATTCATCCATATTTCTCCAACAAACTACCACCTTTAGACATTAGCTTAAATACACATGACTATGCAGAGAATTAATCGAGCACTCGAAAAGTAGGGTGAGGTGGAAGCATAATTAGGTAGACGTAAGGTTTTTCGTCTTTTAGAAATTAAACTAGTTTTTAAATGTCAGAAGGTTTAGTTAAGAGGTTAGACTTTCGAAGCATTCGAGAAACTGCCTTATTTGCAATTTGTAAAGTCCTTTTCATCGACAAACAATGCATTGAGACAAAACTTATGCGCACCAATGTTCACGAATGGATCAAGATCATTCCGGGCAATACAAATGAATCAGAGTGATGACCAAAATGGAAATGCAAGCCTTAGCAATCTTGGCAGTAATCACACACGCGCTGTACAAGTGCTGCACACACATCGTTTGCATTGAAGATATCACTTTCTAAACATTCATCCCTTTATCACCACCCTGTGTGAGGTGGGGCATTCGCTGCGTGAGAGACGCAGGTTTATTTGTGCTTTGTGGTCTAGAAAACACTGCAAACAAAGTGGTCTGCGTCAGCTACCCGATAATTGCATGTACTTCACCCACAAAGTGAGTGAATCGCACTGGGTGGATGCGTCTTCTCAATCCCACGGATTCAGACATGGAAACCAAGAGGATGAAGATTTTAAGTGGCATCGAAATTGAGTAGACCGTTTCGCCAATACGCCCTATTTCATATCCTATCCAACATACTTACGGTCTCACTCTTGCTCTTGCTCTCAATATCCTAGTCGCTCTTCTACTGCCTAAAAACATCCTTGGGTCGGTTCTAGGGGAGTAGTCAGCAGACCATCCAGATTCCCCCAACGTGTCAATCAAAATGCGCATTGGCTTTTGGCTTCTGTAAACCCTGCTGTAATGAAGCCAGCTTAAATGCATAATTTACAAATAAGCCTCAGTTCTTCACACACGTTTGTCGTTCCCTCAGTAAGTCCATCAGTCAGTCAATCGCCTCCTGTGTATGTATGTGTTTTAACTGATACAGGTGTCAACAAATCGCCGCCTTGCCACTCACAACACTTCCAAATCTCGTGTTGATAAGTTGCTCAACCGTCTAGGCAATGCGTCCTACCACTTCCGTCTCTCTAAATGAAGCAACTCAATTGCCACCTTCAAATACAGCTAACACGCCTTTTAATCAAGCCACGCCCATGTCACATTCGATTTGACATATATTTTGCAGTGTGTGGATCAGAAGTGACAATGAGATTGCACAAATTGCACATCAGCGTATATTTATGCCTTATCAAGCACATGAGCGGGGGTAGTATTGCTAGTGCTGTCAATTTACCACCACACAGGAGATTAAGAGGCCACGCAAAATTCGTCTGCGGTCACCCGAGAAATTGATCAAGTGGTACACAGCCTGATCCTCCTTTCCAAATATTTCATTCGCTCTAAAGAAACACTGCTTCCTCAAAATATACCAGGATTTTAGCAAAAAGTATGAATGGACTGACCGAAGAGCTGGTACCTTCAGTAAATAGAATTTG